TGGAGAATGTAGATTGTTGTAACTGATAAGTTGTGAGTTTCATCATTATAATAATTTATTTATCATTCATTAATTTCAGACGACGGTTATCGAATAACGAATTTGGGTTATGACTTTCTGGCTCTGAAAGCGTTGTGTTCACGTGGGGTGGTCGGCTCTGTGGGCAATCAGATTGGAGTTGGCAAAGAATCTGATGTTTATATCGGTGGAGATCCAGAATTGAACGTTAGTACTCTATTTGATCTTATGGTGTTTCTTATCGAGAGCAACGAAATATTTTGAAAGAGTGGATTTTAGTGAGGAATTGATAGCGCAACCGTTCATAAGTAACGATATTTGTGTGGCATTGCTCAGAGATGATCAAATTTTATGAATGATTTTTAGAGAATTTTTATGGTTGGTTTATAGGATGTTGTGCTGAAATTTCATCGACTTGGACGAGTTTCATTTCGTAAATTGAAAGAGAAACGCGATTATATGAACAAGAGGAAGTCGTGTTCGTGGCTTTATTTAGCGAGGCTAGCCGCTGCGAAAGAATTCGCGTTTTTGAAAGGTATGATCTATCGCTCGATTGAGCGATTTTTTTAGTTTCGTTGAATTCGGTGGATTTCTTTTAAAATATCAAATTGAAATTTTATAAAGATAAAAGGTTTAGTTTTGATGGTTTTATGAAAGCAGTAATTGTGAATATTACTCTCATCGTGGCATTCTTACTAGTATTATTTTTCGTTATTAAATCGATGGTGATATGACTGACATTGGTGGTTACTGCTATTACTTGCTGATATCGTTATTGGTATCGCTGTTGATGGTGAGCAATTTGAGGGTAATGCTGAAAAAGGTTTCATTTTCAGCTCTTCACGATCGAAAATTTCCAGTTCCTCGCCCATTGGACGTGTGTCGTCATTTAGTGGTGATGGGTTTCATCGAAGGTGTCCCACTTAGTCAGATCTACAAATTGGATAATGTGGGTGTTCATTCAGATTTTAGCATTAAGAAATTTTTATCGTCATCATTTTCAGTTATTGTAATCTTAACGATCAATCGAGTGGCAGAATAGTTACAATTAGTTGAAATTTGATGTTTGTGATTTTGTGTTTAAGGCGAGTGAATTGTACGATAAGTTGATGTGTTTGGTTGTTCGTTTTGCGAAATATGGATTGATCCACGGTGATTTTAATGAATTCAATTTGATGATTGATTCGGTTAGTTTTGATTTTGGCTTTGTTAGTTATTTTATTGGTTTTGGGATGAAGTTTGGTTTGTTTTTGGATACGGATGTTGTTCGTAAGTTGAAAAGTTTCGTCCGCATTGTAGAAAATCACTCAGGAAGCAGTATTGTTTTCCTTTTGTAGAATGGTGAACCGATAATAATTGATTTTCCACAAATGGTCAGTATGGATCATGCGAATGCACAGTTTTATTTCGAACGAGACGTGAATTGCGTTCGGACATTCTTTAAAAGAAGGTCAGTTTGATTGATACTTTATCCCATTTGCAAGTGGCGAATGATAATTTTTGCATTTAGATGTGCATTTATTTAATCATTTTTATTTTGATCTTAACACAATCACTCCGCCGAGACTGAACGGTCTCCGCGGTAGCTCAGAGGTAGAGCCCTAACCGATAATTGGTAC